CGTAATTCGATCGTCCCCGCCGACGACACCGCGAACAAAACTTCTAGAGCCGGCGAGGTGGGCGGCCGCGTGTTCGCGAGGACTGCGCTTCCGGTTTTCGATCGGGTCTTGCATAAGCCGAAAATACGCGAAACATAATTCTCTGAGGGCGTGGCGACCGAGGCCGGTTTCCGGTTTTCCATTGTTTCGTACATGAAAAATTTGCCTTTTTTTTTTCAAGTGGACTTTAATATTAATATAAAATTTTTTGTTATGAAGATCTTCGATGTGTTGAAAATTATAAAGATGCAATGACAGTGTAAATAATAATTCCCGTCGGTATCTTCGCTAAGGAAGATCAGTTTCAAATTGATAAAAAGTATTTTAATTCAAAGAACTTCTTATGATTTTGAAACATTCCATGTGTTTAGATGCGGCTTGATTGCTCAAAGTTTAGAATGCTCGAACAAAAGGATAAAGATGTTTTAGAAATTAGACAGTTTGCGCTTGAATTAATTGCTTTTAATGCATAAATCATATTAAGATCGGTAATTAATAAGCGACACGATCGATACACGTAAAGCGCCGACCCGTGTCGCTTGATTGATTACCGATTTGTAATCAACAACAACAGAATGCGAGCTAATAAACTAATAAGCAAGCTAATACGCAGACCTAAGGCATAATAGTCCGTTGTGTAATCTACAATCGTGTAAGCAATCGTATATCTTGCTGTCGCGAGTAACAGGTACGCAGTGATGCAACGGTTTATGGTTACGATTGAAGATTGCACAAGATTGCACTGTTACGATATAAGTATCTGTATAAACAGATAACGCAATTCAAATTTCCATCTACTTGAAAATCATTTACATGGCGTTTTATTTTATCCATTCATGTCTCGTCATGAATCTACATCCATCACTGTGACTTTAGTTTCAATTTTATAGGTTTCAAATATTGTTACAAGTAATTTAAAAAAAGTAACATGATTCGTTACATGTAGAATGCACAATTTCGTTAAGAATCTTCCGTGCAAGTGGCACAAAAATATTCGCTCACCATATCAGTTTCTAATTCTCGATTACCATTTTCGTGCGCTTTCACAATTGTGGAATCGTAGTGTTTTACGATCTGTTAATTGCGAAATGTGCCGGCAAAATAATTCCTCTCATTCACCGCAAATTCTACCAATGCGTAAGCAACGAAACACGAAATTTTTGACGAACGTTATAAGTGATGAATGATGGACAAGATTATGACATGCGAATGTGGCATCGTCCACACAACAAAACAGATTTCAAGGAAAAATTATTTTCAACGCCAAGGACAACTTTTCGCAATGTTACGTGCGATCTGGTACGCCGCGAATGCACAATGTTGGAGGGCCGAGCGGCGAGAGCGCGTGTCCACCGATGCCGAATGCACGCAGAGCGCACAGGTGTACTCATTAGCGTCGTGAAATATTGACTATCGAAGTTATTTCGGGTATTACCTCGGGAACTTGACGAGCGATTAATATCCGCAGGTATTCCGGCACGGAATCTTGACTAAATCTAATCTAAATTCAGCTCCCATTTTCAAAATTTGAAAAAAAGAGCATTCCAAAGAATTCTAAAGTTCTCCATAAATTGATATATAAAAAAAAATTCTGTCCTCTAAAATAGTAAAGACATCAAACTTAAGAAACTAAGAAATTAACTTTACAGCATTTCTCTTATGTAAAAAGTTGCAATTTTTTAGGGTTTTAAGAAAACTTTCTTATACATTTGGAAAAGAGTTTTTTGCTCAAAAGAATCCTGAAAAATCAATGTGAAAAAAGGATCCAAAATCGCGACTTTAAACGACAGAATTTTTTCTAAATTCAATGGAGAACTCTAGTCGAAGTCTTGAGAAGTAAAAAGCGAGGGCGTATTGAAAATTTGTATTGTTTTTTTCCGATTTGTAAAAAAGTGGGACTAATTTCACACAAAGGCACGGGAAGATACACGCTCCGAGTGTGCACGCTAACGGTAATAGTGTCCGCACGATCAATGGAATATAGCATCTAGGTATTAATACGACCGCTCGCGATATCTAGACGTTTTAATGCACGGTTCACTTGAGAAATGCAAGCCAGGGTGAAATCTGGAACGAGAATGCGATATATGATACGTGTTCTGATACGCATGTCGAGATGATACTCTTGAGTGTTCCGCCTCGAAAATAATTTGCATTGCGAATGAATAATTTATATTTAAATTTTCTCCCTTTTTTCTATTCTCGCTTTTTCTTTACTTCGTCTCGTATTTTTGAGTAATTAAATTTTTAAAGATATTATAACTTGTATTTGTATCTCCAAGTAGAGAAAAGAATGTAGAACTAGGAATTCTTTCTAGTTCTATATCGAGGTAGGCTCTACATACTGTTATATAATTTTCCAGGCATTCTATCAATTTTTAAATAAGTGGATTGCAATTAGTAAATCATTGGTGAATTTATATAACATTCTGCAATTGTACAAAAAATAAAATCAAGATTTTGAAGTCGGACAATAAGAATTAACAATGATAAAAATAATGCTAATTATTAATTAAACGAAATAGCATCATTCGTAAATTATTTTCGGTTATCTACAAGCTTGCCCGTCCGAAACGCTAATTTCCTTTCAAAATTGCAATCGCGCATAGCACCGAGCGACAAAAATTAGCACACCGTTTAGCGATCGTACTATAATTGGAGACGCTCTCGCTTCTCTCTTCTCGAGTGAGAAAAATTCGCCGCTAGAAGAATTAACCGTCCTAGAAAATTGCTTGGCACGTTTAGCCAGCCACTATTTACCTTCCTTTCGTGTAATATATAGTTAAATGCTAAATCTAACCGACGAATAAATTTTATATTTATGTCTATCAACGACGATTTGAAATTCAATTGACAAAATACGTACGCAAACACCAATGACATTTCAACTTGAATGCATAAAGTACGATGAAACCATTAATGCCATGTTAATATGCACAAAGTATATTTCGTTCTAAATTACAACCGTTTAATTTTGATCTAACTCACCTGTCATTATCACACTTCTCTTTCAGTTTGTTTATCTAAGCTCTTCAATAAATTGACGCCAAAATTATGACATATATTTGCAAAATATTTGCCAAATAAATTGAAAATTATAGTTTTCAAGCGATGTTTATCAATTAATTTCTTCTTAGCTTCAACATACAGCATGCCATTTTTTAGGGCAAAATTTTTCATCCATTGTATATCTATTGATTTAATCATCAGAATTACTATTTAAAAATTTCCCAGATACTTCGCGCATTCTTCTTTTGCTTAAGAATTTTTCTATAAATCATTAATGGAATTAATTGATTAAAAAGAAATTTACATGAAAGAAAAATTGTTGAACGCTTTGCATTAAGGATGAAAAAATCGAGGGGTAATAATTCTTCGCGAACGTTTCGGTCGAAGATACCAGCACTCGAAGACACCGGTCGCCGATAGTCTCCTCGCCCGTTTTCTATTCTAATTCCAATGCTATTCTGGTACCAGTGGTGGCAGCCAATGGGCAAACGCGTCCGTCCGGCTGCCGTACGCGCGACTACACATCTCTCGCACTCTCCTCGCTTCTCATCTCCGACGTGTACACCACCACCCCCTTCCCCGTGCCGGTCGCAGTCGCTCTCGGGGCATCGCGTACGACACATTAATCCTGCACGCGTATGTTGCTCGTCACGCTGTCCCCTCGTCCTTTATCGGTCGCCGATCGATGATCGGTTCGTCCGTCAGGGTGGACGTCCCTGAATCGATCGATCGGTCGGTATCGAGCGCCGAGCGTCCGAATTAAACCGCTCAGACGGGACGGAGCATCCCCGGGAAACAATCGACCACCTTCAGGACGATCCTGAGGGCAAGATAACGGCAGGTGGAGGAAGGGTGCGATGCAGTGGCGTCGGCAGAAGAAGATCACACGTGTGATTGGTTCCTCGAACCATGTGCTGCTCTTAGCGAGGTACCAAGATGGTACGGAAATAATGAAATACCTCGATGAAGCTGCGCTCTCGAGAGCGCGTTGTCCGCTTTAACTGAAGTATTATTAAATTGTTAATGCAAAGAACATTGTGATTTGCGCGGAGAAATGGAGGGGGACAGTGAAACAAACGGTGCAAAGTTTTCCTATCGCGATTTGTATGTAAATTTAATCATGACATGAGTTGTGAATAATTTAAATACATTTTTCGAGACGCGAAACACAATTAAAGCTGTGAAATTCGAGATATGTCAATCCACTGATTAATTTTAGGATCACAAATTTTTTTATCAATTATAATCTAATTCTGTTAGCAATATATATGTACTGAAAAATATTTTTCATGCAATATCTTTTCAGATAATTTTAAATAAAACAAATTTCAAGTAAATAATTGTACTGTTCTGCGTTTCAATGTTGATTTGTTGTTTGATTGTTTGAAAACAATCAATTCCGTAAATGCTCACTGTTTTATGCGAATTACATTTAGCTGGATATATATATGGTTTTCTTCGTAGTTGTTTCGAATGAAATGAAATAATAACGTTTCCTTCCCTACTATGCAATTACGTGTTCAACATTTTTATGATACAATCAACTTGCGATACGCGCGTGTATGTTGGCAGACCATCGATTTCTTAGAAATTGAATCTGTTTTTCCTCTTACATCATACATCCTAATATAAAATAACTTCTACAAATTGCATCTTTTCCGAACACATATATACGATGATAATCCTTAAAAATCAAAAATTAAGATTTAAAATTAAATTGTGAAATTTCAACTATTAATGCAAAAACTTTCCACAGCGAACATTAATTTATTAAATATCAATTTTAGTAATATTTAATTTATCATTATTGTAAAATGATATTGAGATCCGGAAATTTTTGGAGAACTTTTCCAATAAATTTCGAATTGTTTTCGCTGCACATTGTAAATCGTGGAACACGCTGTATGTCACAGCCGCAATTCATTATCGTCATTTAATTTTTGGTTCGACAGCTCCGCCCGGTGAGGAGGATGAGGAAGAGGGTTTGCGAAAGGATTACGTGAAGAATCAGGAGAAGGACGCGAACACGCATACCTTCGATCGGAATGGACAGCAGAGCGGTTACAAGCCGCGCCGTGCTGGCGGAAGTACCAGCACCAGCGGCGGCAGTACCAGCGGTTATGCAAGCAGCGGCTCCAGATCGCATCGGGACGAGAGTACGGGTTCACCGTCGCAACCGAAAATCATCTTCAACGAGGACGAATATACGAAGATCACGACGCCGCGGCAGGACGTGCTCTTCAAGAAGGGCTATCTCTCGCGCAAGAAGCCCTGGACTGGTAATGCGAGCACCAGTGCCACGCCGTCCACTACGGAGAGCCAGTCCGCGTCACATTCCACCGCAGGTAGAACATGCACTTTATTAATTATTAATCAAAAAGTATCGTGCATATATTTAAACTCTGGCGAACTAGCTCTAGTATTCTTTTAACTCGCTAATAAGTTAAAATCTTTCAAGTTCTAAACGCCGCGTTAAAATTTCTCGACTGCAAAGTTCTAAAGTAAATAAAATTTTAGAACAACACTTCAAAGTCAATCTAACAATTTTAAAACATATCTTAGAGCATATGTTTTCATAACAGAAGCCACGTCTTTTGTGTGCAACAGCGGCGGGAGAAAGTTGTCTTGTCACATTCGGTTACTGTAATTCCTTATCTTATCGCTAGCACACTTGCTCCGTTATAAAATGAGAGCGTTTAAATTTAACATCCTTGCAGACGGCAGTGAGACTACGGAGGACCAGCAGTTGTTGGATAGGGACAGTGGAACGGGAGAATATCCGCCCATGGTAGAGCAGCAGCCAGGAACGCAAGTAGGATACGGAGCTTTTTACGATCACGCGAGCGGCTACTACTATGAATACCCGGTGATGCTGGTCGGGCCTGCGCCGGTACCTGCTCAAGTTGGACCAAGCGTTCTAGCGACCGTACCCTGCGCTCCAGTCCCTATAAGGCCGATTGAGTGGATTAATCCCGCCTTCGTGCCTAAATCATCCATACTTGCCAGTCAACCATATTGCTTAATGGACTATCAAGTGAGAAATCCCCGTTCTTTAATAGACAATTGATTTTTTTCATTGAATATCCAATTAAAGCTTGCACAAGTGATTTTATTTTAAAAAATAAAATTAATTTTGGAATAATTTTGACAAAATTTTCAACAAACAATTTTATTAAAATTGAAGACGTAAATTGTGGAACGCGTCATATATCATAAGCGTAGTTATCATTATAACAAAGTAGCTAATGATAATTAATAAAGATTGCGATAATGACACATCGATTTTGAACGATTTAAAATTCCTAAGCAAATATTTATTTGCAGACTAGTCAAAGTACGGAACCAGCTACGATAGTGGAGGAGCAAAACGGCACGATTGTGACAGCGGAAGCTTCCAGCAGTGTGTGGAATGAAAGCGGCACTGGAAGCGCCAGTTGCAGCGGCAGCGTGGCCGAGGAGATCGAGGAACAGGCCGAAGAGGCGGAGAACGCGACGATGGAGCAGCACGCGATGAAGGAGCAGCTCGCGGAGGAACAGCATCCGGAGCAGCAGCACTTCGACGGGCAGCAGCACTTGGAGAACGGCATGGCGACGGTCGATCCTTATCTGGATCCGGTGCTGATGCAGGAGCCGCCGATGCACATACCGCACGTGATGCCGGCCGTGCCGCAGCCATACATGTATCCCGGTCACTACATGTTTGGGCCGCCCTTGGTCAACGTTAATGGTTAGTTACGAGATAAATAGATTAGGATCGAAGCCGTCCCCGAGTAATGTGCGCGTGCTATAATATGGATTTGGCAAAGTCCGAACTTGCTCTCTGCTACTTGCATGAGCAGACCTACATTCGCGCTCGTAGCCTTCGTTCTGTTCACAGTCGGATGGACGGAACAACAGACAAGTGTGTGAACTGAATTGATTGTCCACGTTTGCGTTTAAGAAAAAAAAGGCGCATTTCGGGGAGGGAGTGCGTACACGATTGAGATACGCACAGTTTATTGCGTAATAATCGTATGAGAAAGAATAGAGAATTTTGCAAGTTTAAATTTGTGATATGTAAATATTTGACAATTATTGCAAATTGTAAAATTTCCACAATTTATCGCAATTAAAACTTTCGGTACTAAATATATCATTAATTAAATCGAAATTATTCGAAGAATTTCTCATTATTAATATTAAATTGAAATTGTTTGAAGAATTTCTTATTATTAATTTTAAATTAAAATTGTTTGGAGAATTTCTTATTGTTGATATTAAATTGGAATTGTTGGAGGAACGTTTAATTGTTGTTGCGAAACTTTATTTTCAAAGAATTTTCTGTTTTTATATTATCGAAAACTATGCTTTGATATTTCTTTCGAAAGAAAAGTCGAGTCAAAATTAACTGAAGTAAACGACAAATGTCTATTGTGCAATCAATTGTCGCATAATTAGAAGCGTAAAATTTATGGAAAAAATTGTAACGTGTGACGATTAAACTATTTAAACTGTGCTGATCCAATGAACGCTCCTTCCTCGTACTGCGCTACACTGGCCGTAGTACGCTTGATTGTACCTATTTCTAATGTTAAACGAGAACAGTGTCGATCGGAAGCGCGGCCAAGGAAAAGGGATATGCCCCGATTCATGACTTCTGTCCCGTCCATCGGCATCATTGCTGTTTTATTACCGCCGTGCCTCTACCACATTCAAGGTAAAAGGTAATAATTTGCAAAAAAGGTACCACGCTTTAGACACGATCGTGGAAACGGGAGAGTCTCAAGCCTACGCGGTCTCGCGAAGCATTGTGAGACCGCTTGACGCTCTTCGCGCCGAGAATTGCGTTGAGAAATCGCCGACGATTGCCTTTGAAAGTAGTTGATTCTTCACGATCGTTCCTAAAGTTCCAACTCTCTACACGCTCGGTGTCTGTCGCTCGACTAACAGCATACATATATCACTCACATAAAAAAAAAAAAATGATCAATCGGTGTGTCTTTCACCGCTTCGAACACGCCGAATACGTCATTGTTTTCACGTTGCACCAAATAATACGAAGCGTTATCTCATCCGAGAGTCCATTGACTCGCGATCACCATCGCACGAGAGGATACGCCCCGTGCTCACATCATCGACACAATTTAATGTCAGAAATATGTCTTGGCTGCGCGAGAGACGCGGGATGAGAGTTTGGCAACGGCAGCGCTGTTGCTACATCTCAAATAGAGCTCGTTAAAAATAACACGCGTGCCGCTCGCTTCGATGCGAGGAGTCAGAAAGGCACAGACGCAGCGGGAAGCCAAGTTCACTATTCGCGACAACACCGGCACGCTCATTGTACGCGTGCCTGTGAATCATGATTGGAACGTTCTCATCGAATCGGCAAATCTCGCACCGAAATATTATCTGTTGATCGATCATCGTCGCCCGACAGACCAGTAACGCGTGGCAATCTCTTTTGTCCAAGGTGTTACCATCCAGGGCGGGCCGTTGGTGAGAACTATGGACGTAACCGGTATGACAATGGCGTGTGCCAAGCGAAGAAAGAAGAGAAAGAAAAGAAAACAGAGAAGACCTACTTTGGTGAGTCGGCGAACGGCTGCGCGAAAGAATTATTCAAAATTATTAAAAACAACAATGAAACAATTACGATATGCGTATAATATGTAAAGATACTTGCAATCTTTTGTAAACGATTTATTGCAAAGCGCGTGAAACGCCACTTATTAGATTCTTTATATTTTTTTCTTCTGTTAAATTTTCAGGGTAACACCGAAGATGAGGAGGAAGGGGAGTACAGTTCCGAATGTGATAATGATGTATCGTCTTCCCGACTACCTTGGTCAGAGTGCTCGACCTCGACCGCGACTACAACGACGACGGCCTCGAATCGGCCGCTCAATCCCGAGTGCCAGGAATTTCAGTTACGGCCGGCCCTGCAATCTCGAATCCTCTCTAGTCCTGTTTCGACGACCGTCGTCGCCACCGTGGCCGAAGAGGCCGCGACGTCCACCACCGACACGTCGGACGCGCCACTCTGCGTCGAGACGGAATCCGCGAGTCGCGAGACCGAGAGGATGTATGACACATCGACCGTTCAAAGTCCAACGAACCAGGAGAATGCGACAGTCCGCAACTCGGAAGACGTCGTTGCGGAAACGCCATTGGAAAACGCTCAGTCGACTGCAGCTGGACACAAGCCAAAATGGAGCAAAAATGCAGAGATTAACGGTCAAGCGAAGCATCTAATCGCGGACGCGGAGGCGACGATGACGAACGAGACTGCGGAAGTGAGAAACAGCGCTACGACTGAACACACTGAGAACGACGTCGTTTCGACCAGCTTCAACGCGCAGCGTGAGTCATCTGAGAGTAATAGTGACGACGTCAAAGCGGATTTGTCGAAAAACAACAACCGCGTTTCTGAAGAGAGTTTAGCCAACGGCAAGTCGGACCGCGGACGTTATGCCGACGTAAAGGAGAAATCGAGATCGACGAATCATCACGGTGATAACACCTCCGAGATTGATTCGACAATGACGCCCGTCAACGACGAGGGGGAAGAGGATGCCCAACGGTCACGACACTGTAATAATTTTGTTGCGCGAGCCACGGCATGTGTTGCGCCATCGAAGAAATATAGTAAGAAAGGTTCGAAATTCGTGAGGGAACCTACGCCCGGGCCGGATCTGGATGATGTGGCGCATCATCAGGACATGGAGAATGGAAGGCTCGTGCAGCAATTCGAAGTAGTGAAATTGTCGGACGACATGATCGCGGATAACAAGCTGGACGAGACAAGTCGGGAAGCGACGAATGAGGAGGAGGCGTCGAGGTTGCGCGACGGCGAGGACAAAATCAAAACGACGAGCCAGTATACGACCGAGGGTTCGAATGAGGATTCCGGATTCGAAAGTCAGGCTCGACTGCCCGAGTATCCTATTACGACCGCGGTGACGGAGTGGTTGCGTCAAGCGAATTCGCCCAACCTTCTCGTGACATCGGCGTCGACCTCGGTCAGCGAAACGGACAATGATGAGGAAATGGATGCAATGCCGCCAAAAAACTTGCAAGGCAACCCCATGCCTGCACTATCTGCTAATAGCGGCGTCGACACGGAGTCGCGCACAGCTAGCTGCGGCGAATTCGCAAAGACCAACAACAATAACAACAACAACAACAACAACAACAACAACAACATCAGGATAGATCAGATGAAGGCTGATTCGACGGTAACATCGATCGGCAGGAGGAAGAGAGACGCGAAAGGCACGAAAAGAAAAACGAAGGCGAAGAGAATCGACAAGCAGAATAGGAATGTCGACGGGAAGGCGCAGAGTCAGTTGATTTCCTGCAATCGGCTGGAGGACTTCGTCACTGCCGTGAGAAACACGTCGAAGAAGAATGTTGGTAACGTTTGCGAATTTACTCAGAAGGATAGCGTTGCGGGTATGAGGGTTGCTTTAAGTTCTCGGATAAACTCGAAGAGAGTCAATGCAAGACGAATGAAGACACTGAGAAAAATCAACAGAGATCCCATCGAGAATATCGACATCAAGATGCGACGTATAGACGATCTAAATGGCGAGAGAAGCGGGGAGATGGACGAAGAGATTACGGTGAGCGTGCGAACGTTCGAGAAAGGAGAGATTATCGTCACCGAAGACGGCAAATTGCTACCGGTGTCCTCGTACGAGCCTGTCTCGTCGACCAATCGAGCTAATTATAGCGCGACGAGAGCGGCCGCTCACGTCGACGTGATCGACGAGAACGTCGACACGCGCAACAGCAGCGAGAATGACGAAAACGGCAGTACAATGATAGCGTCCTCGGTCAGTATAGAGGAACCAGACGTATTGGAGTGCTGGGAAGCGGAGACCATTGAACCTGTGATAACCCCGAGGAGGATGCTACAGAGCCCGGGGGTCCTGTGCGAGGGCGAGGCCGCGGAGGAGGACAACGTCGAGATCGAGAGGGCCACGATGGAGCACATAGAAAAATACTACAGACTGGCGCGCGACGGCGCCGGGAGCGCGGAGGAGGAGTCGAGCGAGATCAGCATGTCGGTAATTTCATCGAGATCGAGAACAGTGCCAAATAATCCGGAGAGAACGATCGAGCATTTCTGCAGCGAGGAGATCCCGATTATCGTGCCGGATAGGAATCGGGACGTTGTTACGGAAGACGAGAAGATACCCATCGACGAGGCGTTTGAAGTATACGAGAGCTATTACAGCGGCAAATTGCCGTTCCTGGCGTTCGACTCGAATTTGTTCAAGCAACGGCCTTTGTACGGCCAGCACGGCGAAGGTCCGGTGCCGTGCAGAGCGGTGTGCTGTAACATACAATAGTAAAGAAAGTCTCAGGTATACCCCATCGCAAACCCGTCTCGAGATGCAAGGATATATATTATAATATATATATAATATATATATATATATATATAATATATATATATATAATATAATTATATATATGTATATTATATAATAGAATGCGAAGCAGAATATATATTATAATAATACATCGTTGCGCAAAAGGATGAAACCGTTTTTCCAGACGGGCCGAGACGTCGCGTTCTTCGGGTATATCACGCGCGTATTTATACGTGTATGCACCTCCTCACAAATCTCAATATATATGTTATATCGCCGTTGGGCAGAAGTTGGAATCAATATTCTTTCGATAGTTCGGTGACACACGCTCAGGAGAGGACTAAATGTTATTTTGAAAGCATCGTGGACCGCGAGATCCATCTTTTGTAAATAGTTTTAAGAGTTTGCTTGTGATCGTATTCCGTGGAAACCTTTTCAAAATTTTATGTGTGGGAGCATGCATTGTAGCGTCACACTTCTACGATAGCATTTTACCATTGTCATTGAACATTGCTGTACGTCATTGTTCGCAATTGAGAAACGGATTCGACATCAGCTTTTATCTAGACCGAGCTTATTAAGAAGCAATATATTGTTTTCTCCAAATACAAAAGAGCGCGAATTTTATTTTCAATGAAATGAAAAGAAGGGAAAAAAGATGAAAAGAACACATATGAGAAAAAGTATTTGTTGAGGCGAGGGATGCCAAGCTGTTATTTTTATTATTCTCGCTACGCATTCTGCCGAAGTGACTAAAAAGCATTATTTTTACAATCTATATAAAAGACACAAATGTTAAAAGACTAAGAGTTATTGTTGCACGTAATCACGTTGAAATGGCCTTCGCTTAGGGAAGTTTTGACTGCTCACAATTTTCAACTTGTTGGAGTACCCTGCATATTCGATTGTAAGATTTTAATATCTTTTTCTTTCCAGCGAGAAAGGAAATGTACACTATGAAAGGTTGACAAAATAGATCGTTCAGTAACACAGGCTTTTAAGTAGCGATGCGTAATAATTATGCAGAATGTAATATCACGTAGCAGGTACTAGTTGAAAACGAGCAGGTAAAGCAGATGAGCTATAGATGTACCTTAGCGCTGTTATTGAGAAGTATAATGAGATGTATATAGAGAAAGCTTAGAATGGTAAAAAAAAAAAACAAAAAATAAATAACGATCCACACACATTGGACAGATTGATGAATGTTCACAATAATGATCACTCCATGAATTTTTTTGAAGAGCGAGCTATTATGTATAATTCGTGTCGCTAAAAACAAATCTATTAAAAATGCAATCTCAGCTTTGAAGATATTATGATTTAAAGGTGATGCTGTTCACAGTACTGTCACGAAAATTGTCGGAGGGAGATCTTTTTCAACGGATTTGATTTCGGCACGAATTACATGTTATAAACGAGTTCAAGAAAATTTTTGAAGTGGCCTCGTCTTTAAACATTTACGAAGAAATCAAATAAAAAAGATTTTTTTTTTTTTCTAATAGACGCGTTTCGACCAGAATCGTCGGATGAAACCGCACCGCAAAAAGACGTATATGTGTACTTACACACATACAAAGAGCTGCACTTGTTAAACGATATAGTCCACGCTTTAGTTGATTTGTGTCGAGATAGATCGAGAGTACCTTAGGTTGCATATTTACGCAAGTCGATTGATAGACGTGGTTCGTGAAGTCATATATCCCATATCATAAACACACGCGTAAAACATACCTCAGAGAAATGTGTAAATAAAAACCATCCAAGGGTTAGAGCCAAACACAAAATGATAAAATCATACCAATGTATTAGTAATCTAACGATAATAATGAGAGTAGCAAAATAAAATAATACTGATCAGACGAATAATGAGAAAGAAACGCGGTAACAAAATCTAATATCACACAACAGCAATATGTAGACACCATTGTTCCTGCAAAGTTGTAGTTTCCTTATAAGCATGATACGCATAGAATCATTTCCAAAGATGATCAGTAGCTCTACGAAACGTTCATTCACACCAAAATATATTAATGATAAGTAACGAATATATATCGTTATTATTGAAAATATGCGCGTTGCATCAATTGTGTGCCTTATTCTGTGGCGGCCGTTTTTGTAACTATTTTAAAGCACTCTCCTGATAGTCAGTAGCGAGATGGAGATGCGGTTAAGACTTGTTAAAAAATTGATGAGAGAGAGAGAGAAAGAGAGAGAGAGCGAGCGAGCGAACGAGAGAGAAATGCGCGGGTGGGGTGAAATCGCCCGCGATAATGATCCTTTATCAGTGCATGCGTACCCAAGCGGACTCATTTGATTCCTTTTCACGAAATTACTGACTTCATTATTCGGACAGTGTTGCCCGACCAGCGATTATTCATAAAGACATTAAATAAAGCATTGCATCGTACACGAGTCATGTTACTGTACAATTATATTTTAGTTGAAGTTAACATGTATGGAATAAGTGTATTTGAATTTTGTTGTGTTTTGCTTATAAAAAAATACGAATAAAATGTTTCAATTAAAATCGATAGTGCTTTTCATTTATTTTCGCTTCTCTGATTGCCGCACACAGATTTATTTTTGATTCAGTGTATAAGGAATGGTGCTATGGAATGTTAGAATTACCATTAATGTCTTTATAGATTTTTTATTTTCATCGTAAATAATATAAGCCTCCAGAGTCTATGGAATTGTTACTTGCATTATAATATATTAGTCTGATAAAAATCTTTTAATAGTTTATTAAGCAACCTACATTTCAGACTCTTCTATTCCATCCATATTTAGTATTTCAATCAAATCTTGGTTTTCATTTAATTGAGCATTTTGATTTTTCAATTCTGTTTCTAATTGTTGAGTTATAAAGTACAAATGTTGAAGAAAGTGATACAAGGAAATTATTCTTACAATAGTCGGATGTATGATACACAATGTAAAATTATATTTCAACAAGATTTAACTTATTTTACATTTCTTTGTGTTGTGGGTTGTGAAATATTAGTATTACTATAAATATATAATATAGATAGATAATATATTGATCTTTATTATGAATAATATATGCGCTTGCAGAGTTCACAAAATTGTTAATTGTTTATAATATGTTAGTCATAATTAGTTAGTTCATAATATATTAGGCTGTAACAAAAACAAACTTTTTTAATAATTTATCAAACAACCTACATTTCAAACTCTTATAATAATGACTTTATTCGTCTTAAATGCACTTTAAGTATTTATATTTACTTTATTCCTGCAAAGATAAAAATTTATATCTATTTCATCTTAAATGCAAGTGAAACGAACAAAGGTAATATATTCCGTCTATTTACCATTCGATCAAATCATGTATTTTCCATTTTAAGCATCTTGATTTTATAACTCTAGTTTTAATTGTTTAATTGTAAAATCAAAGTATTATTACATTTCCACTAATTTTTCTTCTATCTAAATTAATTTGAATCTATCGCCAAGGTTGAAACAACTATTGCCATCTGTACTTGTTTTGTCGAACACAGAACCCCATATTGCATCATGATTTCCGTTCTTGATAATATTATATCTATGATTAAAATTGCATCGTACATAGCGCTGCCTTCGCAACAAGCTTGCAACTCGTATGCACGAATATAACGCTTGCGCGTTGTGGTTGATGAGTGACGCTGTGTCCTGTTGGTGAATACCGCGACACTCCGCGGTTCTCGTTTAATTCCTTACTCGAGTGTTTTGTCGATTTAATCCAAATGGATCCAGTAAAAATGTCCATGCAGCCGCACAACAGGAAACGCGTCTGCTACTATTATGACAGTAAGTTAACCGAGAAAATTACACACGTTTCGCGATCCCGCGAAAACATACCATACACACACGGGGAAGCTTGCCAAAAGTGTATGCGCTGTACACGCTTATCGCGATCATTTCGCGCGATCTAGCTGGGCATTCGGCCGCTTGCCGATCCGTCTGTATCTCGCTGATGATAAGTAGATTGAAGCGCAATCGTCAGCTCGCGATCTATCTACACTCGCGAGCATTCCACGCTGAATAATACACTTTTCGTAGGGTTAAGCCGAGAAATTCTCAATTGCGGCACCGCGTAACCATAGGCAAGCGAAGCACAAGCGTCAGCCATGCCTATATATACAGCCACTGTATACTTGGGAAAACTCAAAGATTATTGAATCATTTTCGCTTACTACGACTAATCATTATCTTATCTATCTATTCTTTCGTTTCAACTACAACTGATAATTGGGTGACATGGTTCCTTTATTTGAATTTATTTATGCAATGGGACTTCGATATTTTACAAATGGATTTTCAAGTATATGTTATCAATTTTATCGGTAATTACTTGTACTATATATAGAATTGTAGTTTTTCCTGATTGAAAAACAATGTTTTATCACAAAAACAAAAAAGAAAGTTCGAGAAATAGCTGTGGATTAGGTTATGTTGTGAGGAACATGACAAGAGATTTTACGAAATTATTGACTAATACAATTTGCAATAAGATATTTTCCGAATATAATTTATACTCTCCGATGGTATTTTCCATAGAAATCGGTATTTCAACAAATATTACGGAAGTTAATATGGTTTTTGTAGAGGAAATCGCGAGAGATTCTCAAGTGTGCTCCGGTGCACCGTAGTACGTGAATCGAATCACGTTGCTCGCTAATAGTTATATATTTAATGTTTTTTATACATTGCATTGATTCGTTTGTATATATGTATTCCCTCAATTTGCTAGGTGATATTGGAAATTATTATTATGGCCAAGGACATCCTATGAAGCCACATCGTATAAGGATGACGCACAATCTACTCTTGAACTATGGACTTTATAGAAAAATGGAGATATATGTAAGAATTTTTGCACATCATATTTTTTCTTTCTACAAGAAAAGTACAATTTCTCTGTTATCACAACTATATGTAGTGTTGTATTATTAAATACAATGAAATATTGTAATATAATTGTACTTTATTATTATTTAGCGACCTCATAAAGCCACAGCAGATGAAATGACAAAATTTCATAGTGATGAGTACATTAGATTTTTGAGATCCATAAGGCCAGATAATATGTCAGAGTACAACAAACAAATGCAACGATGTAAGTGTCAAATAAAGTTGTTGAAATTAAAATTATATAAATTGAATAAGTGTTGAAATAATTAGTATATTCTTTTTTATAATAGTTAATGTAGGTGAGGATTGTCCTGTTTTTGATGGCTTGTACGAGTTCTGTCAATTGTCAGCTGGCGGATCTGTAGCTGCTGCTGTAAAGCTCAACAAGCAAGCCTCAGAAATCTGCATCAACTGGGGCGGTGGTTTGCATCATGCAAAGAAGAGCGAAGCGTCGGGCTTTTGTTATGTGAACGACATTGTACTCGGAATCTTAGAATTGCTGAAATATCATCAAAGAGTTTTATACATTGATATTGATGTTCATCATGGCGACGGTGTGGAAGAAGCTTTTTATACGACTGATCGAGTGATGACAGTTTCATTTCATAAGTACGGCGAATATTTTCCTGGAACTGGAGATCTCCGCGATATCGGGGCAGGGAAGGTAAAAAAATGATCAAAAATAAAACACCAAAATTTAAATTCATTCATTTAAATTATTATATATCAAAATTACTAAAAAATGATTTATGATTTTATTTAATAATTTCAATTATGATTTTATTTATTATGATTTATGATTTTGTTTTATTAATAGGGAAAATATTATGCCGTTAATATACCGTTAAGAGATGGTATGGATGATGAAAGCTACGAGTCAATATTTGTTCCCATTATATCAAAAGTAATGGAAACTTTCCAACCTTCAGCTGTTGTTTTGCAATGTGGAGCCGACTCGTTGACGGGTAAGATTTCTTTAAAAAAGCTGCTGTCACCAAAATTTGGAAAATTTTTGACGTAAATATTAATTGTTACGTAGGCGATCGACTGGGATGCTTTAACTTGACTGTGAGAGGTCATGGAAAATGCGTGGAATTTGTAAAAAAGTACAATTTGCCTTTCCTGATGGTGGGCGGTGGCGGTTATACAATCAGAAACGTGTCAAGATGTTGGACATATGAAACATCTGTCGCTCTTGGATGCGAAATTGCGAATGAACTTCCATATAACGATTACTTCGAATATTTTGGTCCTGACTTTAAGCTGCACATCAGTCCTTCGAATATGGCGAATCAAAACACTCCTGAGTACCTCGAGAAAATAAAGTAAGCAATTCTGCGATTCAAAGTTTGATATGTGCGATATAAGTAGATTAATTCACAATTGTATTTAATCATAGAACGAGGCTGTTTGAAAACTTGAGAATGCTACCTCACGCACCTGGTGTACAAGTTCAAGCAATGCCAGAAGATGGTGCTGTCATTGAGGACTCAGAAGCTGAAGAAAAGGTGAATCCAGATGACAGACTGCCTCAACGTGACTTGGATAAGAGGATACAACATGAAAACGAGTACAGTGACAGTGAAGACGAGGGAGAAGGTGGACGAAGAGATAATAGATCGTACAAGGTATAATGACATCCTTATTTGAATGTAATGTCTGATGTGTGATTAGTTTTAAAAATTAAATATTAAAACTAAATATGAAAAATATGCTCTACAACTAATGTGTACAAATGTGTTCTTAAATATTGCTCTCTCTTTCATGTTAAAGGGATCTCGAAAACGACCACGTTTAGAAAAAGGCCAAGAAACCATTGACGCTGATATCAAAAAAGAAGACGACATAAAATCTGAGCCGAAAGGTATTAAATCACGTATGAATATTTTTCATCTTATGTTTGTAAATTCATGTATGATGAAATGCATAATAATTATGTCAATTCTTTTTATTTAGAAAACGAAAAAGATGAGAAAGTGAATCCCACGAATGAGGAGACCAAGAAAGACGGCGGAGCGAATCCCTGATAGATGGTTGTGCCGGAGCATTTAAAAAAGGCGAAATTCTTATTTAAATTAAGTAACAGATATGTTTAAGTAACTTAAATGTGGTAGCACACATGTGGTACATAGTCTGCTGCCTCTACTTCGCTCCGTAAATCGAAATTATTATTCCAAATTATCACATTTTTACGATCAAAACGTGTTTAAATATTTAGAAATGTCGGATTTGTTCGTGGCAGCGTCATCCTTATCGAAATTTGCACGTATGAGCGTGTATGTAGTTTAGAGCGCAATTTTAAACGTAGACTAAAATAATTCAGAAACGTATGTCCGAGTTTTTTCCAATTGATCTTTTTTCATTTTTCTTAAAGATTATTGAAAGTACTGAAGAAGTATAGAAGATTATAGATCCGCGGGATGATGTCTCAATAGTGTCATCAGAATTTTATAAACCTGGATTGCAGTTCTCTTTACATAACTTTTGTGAGAGATCTTTCATGGATCTTTCACCGCGATATTCTAGAATTTTATATAAGCATCTATTTCACTGATTCCAAAATCAAGTCATAAAGTCGACAACTGATATAAGACACTAACGAGATTCTGCCGCTCCAATGCTGCAATCAAATTTACACAGAAGAAAAGATGTATACATATATACACATATATATGTATATAATTGTTAATATATCATATATATATGTGCGAAATGCATCTTTTTCGCGTGAATAGTGTAATATCGTATGTCTTCTTATTTGTCACTTTCAATTGAGCCGCTCGATAAAGACCAGTATGTAGTTTATGTATTATGGAAAGGCAGCTGATTAAGAATATAAAGATGATTTCTTAATCAGCTGTTTGCAAAGATCATGGATTGGTGAATACGTTCGCTTCCTATTGTATATAATACACAGAAATTTAATCTTTGAAAGAAATTCTTGCACGCAGTAATAATATAATTAATAATAATGTTCGTTGAGAGTGCAAAGAATATCTCACGTTACTCAAAAGATTAGCGGATGTTTCTTCAGTTAACGCCCCGATTTATTTAGTGTAAGTAATGAATAATTTTAATTTATAATGCATTTCAGAAAGCGAAAGCAACGGGAAAAATTTGCAATTTGATAAACACTTGTCCATGTTTATTCGTCTTACATTATGTTCGTTTTTTTATACTGTCGTATTTGTTTGCATTTATATTAAGGATTGTTTCCCTCGTTTTCGACATTTTTTTTCATTATTTTTATCTCCTTTTATTTTGATTGTCGAGTCGTGCTGTTCAAATTCATATCTACTTAAAGTTTTACATTTGTTTCGTAGCATTTTCTACCGATAAGTAATTTACCGTAAGACACTCATGTCTTGACGAAATAAATCAGAAATGCGTAGACGGGAAAAGAAAGATCTTCTAATGCTTTTGAGTAGCGTAACGAGGAGTTAAATTGGGGGGGGGGAGGGGAGGAGGAAGAAAGTATGGCAAAGAAATTAGAGCAGTTGAGAAATTATATATATCCATTCAAATGTAGCTGTAGACTCTTAAATGTATATTAGACAAGACTAATTTAAGAAATATAAAAAAAAATTACTCGTGGCATCTGGATCGATCTCTGCAACAAAGACTCAAGGTCGGGACGTCGCTCTCGTTCCTGCATTCTCGATCATTGTCGATCAACAATTGTTTTGTTGCAGACTCTGTCCTCAGGCTACGTTCTCACGTATTTTCATTAAATTCTCGTGCGAGAGCAATAATTGTGCATTGACAATTCTATGTATATAAAATGTATCCCCTTTTTTGTGACGCCTGAATACTCGATCTGGACCTGTGCCCGATCATTGGGCGATTTTATTTGTAACTAAACTTACATCCACTATACACACAAAAGAAATTTGAAATAGCATTGCGTATATCTTGTGTAAGCCGATTCAAGACACAGGCCGAATCTTTCTAATATGTACTCCTTTTTATTCTTAATCAACTGATATCTTGTAATTTCTTCTTACGCACTGCTCTACTTCAACTTGCGTGACGAGTTAAGATTAGAGAGATTCGACTCTATAGATAGACTATTGCATATGTATTTATGTCCACGCATAGGAACATATATGGACGTTTTTAAATATTTATAATAAAAAATAAAGAAATCTATATGTGTAGTTTTGTGGTATTCACTTCCTCTCGACTTAGGAAGGAATCTCTGCTGGGAATTTAAAGATTGAAATGCCGAATTTCTGCAATTAGACATAAATATATATTTATATCGACTAGGGAAAATCGAAAAGTAAAAAGGAATCAAATCTCTTTAAAAAGTTCTTTCACTTTTTCTATTTTTTTCTCTCGGTTACGGAAAAAGCGTACACTATCGATAAGCCGGTATATCACGCATAATATAAAATGGTAGCAACCTTGGTAACAGCCGGCAGATGTTTTGACAGTTCCTCGTTAGTGCCATTTGCGATATGCTTTGTTACGAAAGCGTAACACAAGATGTAATTAGCTAAGAATGATAAAATTTTCAAGGTGACTGTTATCTCACGCATATTAGTTTTAAATACGCAACATGTACGCCGTCGTTCTAACCTCGTGAGAAGAAAATATCCTTAATTTATATGTCGTGATTATTCTCAGGTAAAATAATTACCTGCGAGGCACATGCTGAAGAGTAGCGCAAAGTTTCTTTTTACGTTTTCCATTAGTATGAAACATTTATTTGAATAAACTAATAAACAAGACTACAAGCAACTTTTGACAATAACCTATCTTTCTTGGTTGCAGAAACTTGAAGAGATGTGAAATTTAAAGAAACCATATATTCCAACAAAGAAGGGAAAAATTACAACGCAAGGTTTTCGATTAGATCTTCAAAATGATCTCCCAAGTGTCGCATGTGATGACGCTTGCCAACAGCATCATAGGTGTGAGCGTTCTGGCGATGCCCTTTTGCTTCAAGCAATGCGGCATTGTGCTGGCGATCTTAGTGTTACTTCTATGCAGCACTCTATCCCGACTGGCCTGTCACTTTCTCGTCAAATCGGCTGTAATATCGAGAAGACGCAACTTTGAGCTACTTGCTTTTCACGCATTTGGTTATATGGGAAAATTCTTGGCGGAATTGTTTATTATCGGCTTCATGCTGGGTACATGCATCGCCTACTTCGTCGTTGTTGGTGATCTGGGACCACAAATACTCAGCAAGATAATGAACAAGACTCCAGGGGACATTCGCAGCAGTTTGTTAATCATCACTGGGGTCTTTATAGTTTTACCTTTGGGTCTACTTCGAGATATCGATAGTTTATCTAGCATTTGCACTGCTACTATCGTCTTCTACTTCTTCCTTGTATTGATGGTATGATATAAACTACAATTTCATAAAAACATCGTGCGCAAAACTGAAATATAAGCACTGATTATATACTTTTTTCTTTTTTTAAGTCTTTTAATTCATTTAATGATTATATCTGATGATGCTCTTCATATCCATACAATCTATATCCTTTTCTTTTTGGTAGATAATTTGGGAGTCAACTCTACACATATTTGCGAGAGATTGGTATGACGATGTTAACTATTGGAGACCAGCCGGTATTCTCCAGTGCCTGCCGATATTTTCGATGGCTCTTTTCTGCCAAACGCAGCTGTTCGAAATATACGAAACCATTCCGAACGTATCCTTAGAGAAGATGAACGACGTTGTACGAGGAGCCTTAAATATATGCACTCTTGTATATATGTGCGTTGGCTTCTTTGGTTACATTGCGTTCTGCACCCAATCGTTTACAGGTAATTCGACAGTCATTCACATACAATAAACGACTTATAATATTGTTACTATCAATCATTATTATTCTGTTATGACTCTCATTGTTGTTACATTGCAGGAAACATTTTACTGAGTTTCGAGCCTACTGTAACGTCCGAACTGATTAAACTCGGATTCGTATTCTCGGTTGCATTCAGTTTCCCTCTAGTCATTTTTCCGTGTCGCGCAAGTTTGAACTCCCTTTTATTTCGCCGGGTATGTATACGTTGTTATACTTTGACAAATTCACAGAAGCCAAATAAGCTCAATAATTATGATTTATATATAAAATAGTTAATTTTTTATTTAACATATTTACTGCTCTACAATAATAATTGCGATTGAAGATTACAAACCGCTAACTTTCAATTTATATATATTATATCACTGCTCTATTAGGTGCATACGCACGAGCCGTCTGTCAATTACCTGCCAGAGTCCAGATTTCGATACCTCACGATCACAATAGTCAGCATTTCTCTGATCATCGGTATTCTAGTGCCAAACATAGAGTTCGTTCTCGGCATTGTGGGATCAACGATCGGAGTGATGATCTGCTTGATATTCCCCACGGTGTTCTTCATATCTATGAGCAGCAGAAACACCAATGAGAGACTAGTAGCGCAGGTAAAGCGAAATTCTACGACAATTTCACATGCTTTACTTTTTTTTTTTCACTACTTTTTATAGAGTTGTATTTTTACATATATAGGGCATTTTGATTATCGGCGTTTCGATTATGATTCTTGGTACGTACGCCAATCTGTACGCTATGGAGGAGTCTACAAGTGCAAAAGTAGCAGTAACTAATAAGCCGCTCGGCCAAATCAACAATCTACCATTAAATATAATCAAAGACAATTTACATATCATTCCCGACATTCCTGATGATCCGGAACTCCTTCCGAGAGCTAAAGGTACGATGTTACGCAAATGTCTCTCCTCCGCTTTCGTCATTTGAATCTGATTTCACGTTCTGTTGCAGACAAAATTAATAAATTACCCGAGATAAGTGTTCTCGACGAAACATTGAATATAAAGGCGAAAGACGTTCGACAAGAGCCGCCAATACCCGTTGAACTTGTGATCCCCACCGAAAAGCCGAGCGTCGAAAAGGCTGATAAAATAACAGCAGGCACTCTTGCGCCGGAAATAAAAGAGATAGTGGAGACGATCAAGACATTAAATGAGAATTCTAACGTACAGTCACAGATTGCCGTGAACACCGATATTGTTAAAATTGATGAATCCATTACGTTGAAGGCGGAAGAGAAGATAAAGATAATCGAGGAGAAGGAACGGTCTATGGACTTGCAGAAGAACGATAATCTCATTAATCTGGACGCGATAAAGAAGGAGGAATCGGAATTAGCGGCTGATGGAGACGTCGCTAATGCCAGAGCGGCCGAACGGCACGAGCAGCTGAGAAAAACACTGGAGAAGCATAAACTGGAGCAACGTCAGATGATGCAGGAGCAAAAGAAGATTCTCAAGGACATCAAGGAGCAAAAGCAAGAGTTCGAAAGGGAGAAGCAGAGAATAGCGAAGGATGAGATACTCAAAAAGACCGAGAAGCAAGACCGAGAGATAGAAATTAAGGAGAATGTCTTATCAGACGTCAAAAGCGATTTGAAAGAAAGCGATAAACGAGCGGAGGAAAATGAAGTCGAGAAGAGTAATAAAGAGCCTTTGGAAGAGAAGAAACAGAATATCGCAGACGAAGAAAAGCAACAACCCCAAAACGAGAATAACGATGTGAACATCGCGGTAAAAGATAGCGAGCAAAAGTCACATCTGTTTCAGAAAATTTCGAACAACAACGGAGAATCTCAGAAAATGCCGGAAGACAAGCCAGATAAATCTGCTGCTGTGGAAAACACAGTCGTTGAAGAAGCACCTGAGCAATCAGCATTGAAAATAAAAGATCAAGATGAAACAAGAATAGGAAGGATAGAACTTAACGATACGGAAAGTATGAAGAGTCCTATCTTGAATGTGTTGTCGAAGGGAGTTTTGCAGCGGTCTATCGTGGAAGAAGGACTTGCTAAGGACAATCAGATGAAGGAAGAGAGGAGAGAGCTTCTCGCGAATGAAACTAACAACGCGTCGGACAAATTGCTGAAGCACGACGACAAATATTCTATACCTATAGCGTTGAAAATAATGAATCAATCGAAATTAGACAAAGCGATCGCTCCATCGTTGAATAAGAGTGAACCGGAAGTTCTCGCTATACGCAGAGATATTCTGCAGAATAATGAACGTGAGAAGAGAGACGTCGACGCGGAAGCAAACGCGAACGACGGAAAAATCAGCGGCGAGCGTCCCACCGAAAAATCTAAGACTTTTATCAAAAACGAGGTTGATGACGCAGATCGCGAGACTTGCTCAAAATTGCAGGAAGATTCGAAGAAATTCGGAGGAGGAAAAGAATCTGAAAAGAGAGCGACCAAGTCGAGCACGACGGAAACGCCTTTGATTAAGACGAATGTCTATTTGTCCGAGCAGGAAATAACAAAGGAAATTTCTATGGACGGACGTGTTCCTTTAGACGTGGAATACGCGAGTATGCAACAGAGAGATTTGAATGCTTTGAATCCTAAGAATAATATAGAGATATAAATGATTCGAAATAACGAAATTTACGCAGTATATCGGACATTTTGTTTGTAAATCGCGCTCGATATTCGCCGCTGTATATATATTTCTGTTGGCAATTATAATGTTCAATCATTAAGTCTGCAACATTAACTTTCATTCCTACTCGCATTTGTGTGTACGTGTGTGTACATATTACGAATGTAACGTTTATACTTGCGACTCGCGGTGCACTCGAAGTGAATATAATGTATAATACAAGACTGCTGTGTAACGATGGGATTCAAATCGTCTCGAGACATCTTGAGTTAAAAGCTGAAACTCAAAAGGTCTCAAAACATCTTGCAAGACTCGTTACGAGATTGAAAGTCTTGAAAAAGACTTGGAAGTTTTGAAAAGTCTTGAACGTCTATAATACATATGTGTATATTTATATATGTATATTATTCAAAATATTTAACACACTCAAGATATTCAAAAGACTTTTCATGCAAAACAGTTTTGCAAGATGTTTTGAGACTTGATTTTCTGTCACTCTTGACTTGCTTAAAAATCTTGAAATTTCATCACTATTGCTGTGTATATTATTTTTAACTATCTGTAGCATAATGACTGTAAAAATAATGTGTATATTAGTTTAAGAAAAAAGCCAAATACAAATGTATTTTTACACCGTAATTTAAACTAATTTATTATTTTTGTATATCTTAATTATTTACCCAAGAAAATGAAATATCCATTCGTTATTCCATAAAAAAGCGCATATTTCTTATCCAAAAATATCTTGAAAAAAATGCTATTAGCGCTCGTATAATTCATCTCGTCAATTTTCAGTATAGTTCAATCTTGCTGCATACAATTTATCAAGATTCCCGTTTCCAGAATTATGCAAAAAATATTTCAGTTTTGAGGCTCAATCCTTTTTTAATAATAAATTTTTATAACAATTATAAATAGTTTTGATGTACACATGTTTCTTTATGTAATCTTAATATTCATTGGTTCTGGTTTAGGTTCCGTGACTTCGATATCTCTGCATTTCGCCTGTTGCAGTTCTCTCCTGATTTCGAGAGTGATTGAATGGTGCGATTGTTTTCTCAGTAATCCTAATAGAGCATCCTTTTGTTCTGAACTGATGTCGCTCTTATATCGCTGTACAAAAGTCAAGAGAGCCTGATGCCACAGCACTGGCAATTCCCTCGGGTCTCTTTCGAACCTAATAGATTACATTTGGCGTGAATATAGTTTCTAATAATTGCCTGTAATTTGTTATTTGTCTTAATTATTATTTACCTAAGAAAGTGGAAAACCACTCCGTCCACTACTCTGTACGGAAGCGCATATTTCTTATCCAAAAATATCCTGAGGAAGATGCTGTTAGCGCCCGTGTAGTCCATCTCGGCGATTTTCAGTATAGCCGCCGAGGAATGCAAAATCGGTATGGAGTTCTTCGCGATCACGGATCCGATGATAACTGCCTCTCTGAGCGTGCACGTGCCAGACTCTAAAAGCGGCAGCAGTATTCCTTTCATGAATCCGGCTGGCTTAAACAGCGCTTTCCTCAGCGCTTGATACAGATGAAAGTTCAGTCTTTTGTATTCCTCCAAATCATCCCTGATGCGCGGCAATAAAATCAAATTGTAGAATCTCTGAGCCATCTTTTCCTTCAAGTTCGACGCGAATATCCTTGTTGCTTGATACATGGCTGCAGCGGACCACCTTGGCGGATCTGTGATGTATAGTATTTGCTCCCAGTTTTTCAAGCTGGGCACGATCTTGAATGCCTTAGGCAGCTTGCCGCTACGATACTTTGCCAGCACGTCTCTGACGCCCTCATACATCGCCTTCACTCGCGGATCCAGATCTTGCAGTTGAATAGTTCCTGCATCTGAAAATTGTGTGTCTAGCTCTGTCTTCTTCTCTGTCAATTTCTCCATTATTATATCGGCCAATGTTCTTGTAGGTGCTGGATTCTTGGACATAAACATCTGCAATGCTCGCTCATCCTCCTCATCAATTTCAATGTTCTCGTAGTAATGCACATTCTCCACCGGCTCCTCATCTCCACTGGATTGATCCTCGGCGTCACTATCGCCAAGTTTCACTGTGGGTTTCTTTACAGTTTTAGATTTACTCAGGCCAATCTCTTCCTCTACTTCTAGCTGCTGCCGCCTTGCTTGCGATAAGATTCTTTTTGTCAAAATAGGAGCTACATACTAAATAAAGATAATTATATAAATTAGAACACACCGAGAAAAAATATATTTCCAAAAAATTTCGTCATTTTTATTTTTGATTTAAAAAATAAAAGGAAGAAAATAAATGTGAGCACCAACCTCTTCTTCCTCGTCAGCCCGTTGCCTGACTTTTTGTCTATTTTTAGGTTTCGCTACTTTCTCAGATTCTATTTGCTCGGCCAAACCAATTTTCGAATCTTTGGTTTCGCCTTTAGACACCTTCACTTTCTTCGCCTTACCCATTTTTTAACACTATCAAATATTTTTGAATATTAACTAACCTACGCAAACACGTGTATTAGTGTATACAAGCCATGAGGCTGTCTGATTTTAATAACTTAGAGTATATTGATTCAAGATTGACACTCTTATAAATCGTCTACTTATGAACTTTAAGGCTGTTTTCAATACATACTTAAATATAGCCGACAATTTTTAATTAATAAAAAACCCGTATTTTTTATTACAAATAATATATTTAACACAAATATTGATAAGAATTTAATGTAGTCAAATTTTGCATTATAATAACAATCTTTTACTGAATTTAGATTGCAGATTTTTGTCCAATAATTAAAACCAATCAAAACTTCGTACGATTCATTTTTGCCATCTGGCGGATTCACTTCTAGAGTTTCTTGTCTTGTATCTTATAAGTTATGGTTTTACTTTAGGCGGGAAAAGCAGGCAAATATAGAGAAACGTCGTTGAATGTCGTTTAACCATAATATCGTTGAAAAATAAATAATTGAAGCAATTTTCAGATTGTGTACATTAAAATTTGTAAAAAATGGCGAATAAAGTGTCCAGAGATTATGTTAAAGACAGAGGTAAGACATTTGTGTTTTTGTGGAAAATTTAGACTTGTCTAATTGGTTAAACAGTAATTATTTATAATAACATTGGTCTATTAATATAAATTGGATGAATATTTCAGAACAACTCAAAACATTTTTCCTGGAATTTGTGTCTAAAGATGAGAGTACAGGAAACAAGGTATTTATATACAGACAGCAGCTCACCAAGATAGCACACAGAGAACAGATTAGTCTTGAGATTGAGTTGGATGATATACAATCATTTGATGAAGAACTAGCCATGTCTGTCGCCAATAATACACGGAGATATACTAATTTAGTTTTGGAAGTAAGTATATTGCGTATACGCAGACACATTACAATATTCAAAGTTATTTATTGCGTAATTTAAATCAAACAAAAATGCAAGTTTAATTATTACAAATATACATAAGTGTTGGTATTTTATAAGGATTTATAAATGAATTAAATTTTAATTTTTTAATCTAGTTGGTTCAAGAAATGCTGCCAGATTTTAAAGAAAAAGCAGTTTTGCCTAAAGATTCATTGGATATTTATATGGAGCATCGATTATTAATGCAAGCTCGTAATAGGCAACAGGGTGAAGCTCAGGACAGAACTAAATATGCTCCTGAATTGATGCGTCGTTTGTAAGAAAACTTTATGTCCAGACAATTGATAGATAAGAAATAATATATATTTACAAAAATGTTGCTATCCTTTTTAGTGAAGTATATTTTAAAGACTTCTCCGAAGCAAAAGCATATTCAGTGAGAGATATTAAAGCAGATAAAATTGGAAAATTGGTGACAGTTAGAGGTATCGTTACTAAAACCACTGAAGTAAAACCAATGATTGTTGTGGCGACATATACATGCGACGAATGCGGTTCAGAAGTGAGCCAGCCGGTAAATATCAGAAATATTTTAAACATTTAAATATAATATTAACAATTTTTTTAACCCAAGTCACTATTAATTATTGCAGGTGCACTCCTTAAGCTTTATGCCATTACGAACGTGTCCAAGTGATGGATGTCGCGTTAATAAATCCGGTGGTAGATTATATTTGCAGACTAAAGGTTCAAAATTCATCAAATTTCAAGAGATAAAGATGCAGGAACATGTAAGTTCACCAACATTCAAGTGTCTCATTTGATATTCTATCTGATGCATTATTGCATCATAATCCGACATATGAATTACATTTTACAGAGTGAGCAAGTCCCAGTTGGTCACATACCGCGATCTTTAACCATCTTCTGTAGAGGCGAGACAACAAGAAATTGTCTCCCAGGCGATCATATAATTGTAACTGGTGTGTTCTTGCCTTTTCTGAAAACTGGTTTTAATGCCAGATCAGGACCTGCACTTTCCAGCGAAACTTACTTGGATGCACATGTAAGAATGTTCGTTAAAATATAGATCTTAGTCATATCTTTATTCTTTATCAATGCAAACTTGATCCTCTGTTTAATTTCAGAAAGTGGTGTGCCTCAATAACACGGATACAGTAGATGACAGTAGTGCTGAGTTGACCGATCAAGAACTCAGTTTGCTGATGCAGGATGATTTTTACAACAAATTGGCTTATTCCCTGGCACCCGAAATTTACGGACTGGAGGATGTGAAGAAGGCATTGTTATTGCTATTAGTTGGTGGAACAGATAAGAAGAAAGGCGACATTAAGATTCGAGGTGAAGATATAATTTTTAATATTAAAATTTTATATAAGACTTAATTTTAAAACTATGTATCTATTTTTATTTTCCTAATATATATATGAGATAAATGTAACAATGTTGCATCTCATTGTTCTTATAGGCAACATCAACATCTGTTTGATGGGAGATCCTGGTGTGGCCAAGTCGCAATTGTTATCTTATATTACACGATTGGCTACAAGATCGCAGTATACCACAGGAAGAGGATCATCTGGCGTAGGTTTGACAGCTGCGATCATGAAGGATCCTTTAACGGGTCAAATGGTGCTGGAAGGTGGAGCTTTGGTGTTAGCGGATCAAGGAGTATGTTGCATCGACGAGTTTGATAAAATGGCAGATGCGGACAGAACGGCGATTCACGAAGTGATGGAGCAACAGACCATATCTATCGCTAAAGCAGGAATAATGGCCCGTTTGAACGCCCGAGTCTCCATATTAGCCGCCGCCAATCCGGCGTATGGCAGATACAATCCGCAGAGAACAATTGAGCAGAATATCCAGCTGCCCGCCGCGTTGCTATCGCGATTCGATATATTGTGGCTTATTCAGGATCGCGCAGACCGAAGCAATGATCTGAAGTAAGTATTCGTACAATATTTTATATCTTCATCTTATTCTGATATCATTTTTAATTTGTATTATTCTAATTTCATAAAGTTATTCTATAATGTGTCTGTGTAATTTACTAATAATCATGAATATTCTTTTTAGACTTGCGCAACATATTACCTATGTGCATCAGCATTGCTCGCAACCTCCGACAGAGACGGAAGCTATTGATATGAAACTGATAAGAAAATACATAAATCTGTGTAAAACAAAAGAACCTGTTGTTTCAGAGGAATTGACAGAATACATTGTTGGTATGTATACATTTATGAATTTTGTTACGTTACGTTTTGCATTTCTGAAATATATAATATTGATATTAATAATTAATCAAATAAATACAAGTAAATTGATGACAGCAAATAAAATTAATAAAAAATTAATATTACACTGAGTATAACTAAACTGATTCGACAGATACATAACTTAAAATCTTACTGTTGCAGACTCTTACGTGGAAATGCGAAAAGAAGCGCGTAACAGCCAGGACAAAACATTTACATCCGCTCGAAATCTACTAGCTGTTCTCCGATTGTCGACGGCGTTAGCGCGATTACGATTATCGAATGTGGTTGATAGGGACGACATAGCGGAAGCAAATAGATTGGTGGAGATGTCCAAGCATTCGATCAATTACTCTGAACAACGTACGAATAACGCGCAGCAAAATCCGACTAACAAGATCTTCCACTTAATACGAGAACTCGCTGGTGATAAGAAAACGGTCAAAGTGTCGGATATTTTGGAACGATGCACTAGCAAAGGATTCAAACCTGATCCAGTATATAAATGCATCGAGGAGTACGAAGCGTTGAACGTGTGGCAGGTCAATCAGACCAGAAGAATGATCACTTTTATATAATTAACTTGAAGACGTGTATCTACAGAACTTCAAGGTATTTTTATATCCTGAAAGACATCTCACTTTTCGTGACAATAAAATATACTTTTTCTTACTTGCGATTTTTATCATATTTATATTTTAGGTTATCATATTTATTATCATATTTATATTTTACGATTATACTATTTAGATTAGAATTATATTATTGATAGCATTTCGATCAAGGATTACGTTTCTAAATCTATTATTAAATTTTTATTCGCTTAATTTTTACTAATGTAACAATTATCACTGCGTTAAAAATTGTATTCTAAAAATTATATTTATATAAATTATATATTAGAGATTGCATCAATGATTGGATTAAAAATATGTTATAATTGATAGCATTTTGTTTAAGAATTAACTTGCTCGATCTATTGCGCTAAATTTTGTTCGTCTAATCTCGCATTTAACTTCACTAACGTAGCAATCAATATTTTATTTAAATTTGTCACTTTTAAATATGCATGAAGAAAACCAGTCACTATTGTTAATGCGAAATCTTGCTGATTGACAAACGATAATTTGCCATTTACGAGAATTGCATTATCGGCAGTGCATCGAGCTTTACAGAATCGATTGTAAGGGGCGCTCCGTGCTCTGATGTGAACATTGCTCGACAAGTTGACCAACGTGCGGCGAACGCCGGAACGCCGTGTACTTCAGTTGCATCGAGTCGCTCGTGGAAGGTGCATCGTCACGCTCTTATTTCGCTCTCATTTCGTTCTCGCGTTCGCGGTGTGTCCCGTACCGTTGCGTGCGTGCGTGCGTGCGTGCGTGCGTGCGTCGGTTGCGTGTGCATAACACATATACATAGGCACACATGAGCGTTTTACATTGTGATACGAGCAAAGTGGCGAAGCGTGCATGTGCCGGGAGTGCTGCTGGATGTATGTGATCGCACGGATGCGTCGCGATCGCCGCCTCTAACTTCTCTTTCTCTCTCTTTCTTCTCTCCCTCTCCTCTCCCCCTTTTTTCCTCTTTCTCCACCGTCTCGCGAACGCACCAAATGTTCGCGCCGCATACCCCGAGTGCCCGCAGCACCGCCGCCGCTCGTTCCCGTCGTCGTCGTCGTGCCGTCTGACGGCGCGTCCGCCGTTCGGCAAACGATCATCGCGTTCCGACACGGTGGATGACTCCACCGGCGACGATCCACGGGCCGAATCCGTAGACGAAAAAGAGGAGTGAAGAACACAATAGCGAAAGAGAGGAGGGAACACACACGGTCGCCGAGGGAGGAAGAAAAAGAGAGAGAGAAAGAGAGAGTGACGAGATTCAAACGCGAGAACGCTCGCGAATAAATATCCCCGATCGCTCGAACTTCTCGCGATTTCCTCCGCGATTTCTTGCTCTCTTTTCGGTTCACGTCGCGTCCGGGGCCATTTTGCCGAAATGAAAATAATACCGCGAGCCGTCGCGTTCTCCGCGTCTACGACCCTGCTCGCGATCCTCGTGTGGTGCCACTGCGTGTCCTATACGACGGTGCACGCGAGATCAGCCTCTCCGAAGTTGACGCACTCCGGCGACAACACCGAGCCCGTCAACTGCGACCTGGTCAGGCACTTCTTCGAGAGCAAAAACGTCACGCTCGCGCCGGCCGCCGAGAATTTGTCGAAGAGTAAGTTTATTCTTCCCACGAATTCGTATTTTTGTAGTGTCTATTTGGCGGAAATGCTCCGTATTATACTACAGAAATTGCGTCTGATTTTGCATTAATTTTGCACTACGCCGAGAATCGTGAAAAATGATTCTTGGTTTCGACCGATTCATCGTTCACTGGAGTGCCGAAAGTCATTTTTGAGAGGCGCACTCTTATGAGTGTGCGGCTGCGGGAAATAACAAATCTTGACGTTACTCAGAGCTTCGCGCACTGAGAAAACAAACAGCGGATAAAACCGCTGCCGGATGAGAAGAAACATAGTTTCGTGCTAACGCGACGCTGATCGCATAAAGCAATATAATTAACGCGATAAATACTTTGTTGAACTCAATAATTAAGATTAGTAACCGCAACCGCGCGCTTTAGTCGAATTTAGCGCTGCGTCAAACTGCGTGTAATTTGGTCAGTGAACTTGATACTTTGCTGAGATCACGAGAGCGACTGCAAGCTTTCGTTTAACCATTTTCCTCTGTTTCTAAGATTCAACGTGAAATTCCGTCCTCTCAAGATTCAATATAGAATCTAGTTTTAAAAATATTGCAGCTTTTTATTTTCGGCGTAATGTTGCTGCAAGTTCAACGAAACGGTTTAATGCAGCGAGCAAATGTGTTTAATAATTCGCGATAGTTATCTTTCTCATTAGTTGTATAATCTTTTTTTTTTAATAGAATACCTTTGACATTATTAATTCATAGTTGAACAGATCGATACTAATAATAACTGCGTTGTATCATTATTTATATCTATTGCTTATGTTATTAATATTATTATTAATATCAATAATTTATTAGACATTTTGATATTAATGAGCTGCTAGTATCCACAGCAGTCTTAAGTGAAAATTGTTAATATTACGTAATTAATATTCAATATCCGGCACCATTAATATTGATATCATTGATATCATTCAATCTGCAATCATAATCAACATATCAGATTGAAAGTTACGGTTTCTGTCCGCATAAATTTGCACTCATTTATGCATGCAGATTAGTCTAAATGTCTCTTACCCACGCGTGAATTTGCAATTTTTCGCAGACGTGATTGAGAGATTAGCAAGTGCCATTTAAATTGATATTGTTTCATAAATGTAACATTAATCATTGAAACCACAATTTCGCACATAAACATCTCCGATTATTTTTTTTTTCGGGCGCGAAATAAAATTGCAGATGTTCGCAGAAGTGTATTTCGCGTAAATAAATTTAAATATGAAATATTTCACTTCTTTTGAATTATCCTCGAGAAGTTCCAATTGAGCTTTAGCAAAAGAGAGACTTTTTCGGACGCGCACATTTATTCTTCGTCGCAATCTGCAAAATCATTTACATAATTATCGCATGTGCCGCAGTGCCATTATTTTTCCACCTATTTTTCTTTATTCACTATTCAAGCTTGTTTCCTTATTGATCTTGTGATTTATGATGTTTCTTCGAACTTTAGAACTATTAATGCTATTGGCCAATACGACTCCAACTTGACACACATATACACACACATGTGCGCATATTGCATAACATGTATCCGCTTCTTTTTCATAAATTTCACAAGTTATTTTTAACTCTATCTCTAAAATCAGGAAGATAAATGTGTCGTTATGAACCTAGTTCCGATAAATGATAGTATCCGTCTTTCTCAAAAGGATAATTTACGTTTTCCTTAGATAATTACACGCTGCATAAATTAACGTCACATTGACAATTATATATCTTTCTTTCTTTTTTCTATCTTTACGCGTTCTATTTGCTACTTGAGCCTTTTATTGAGCCTCGTTGTTTTTTACTCGTTTTGTTAACCTACTTTCTCGATTCTTTATTTCTATTAAAAAGTTTATGAATTTAATGTTTATTTCAAAATATTCAGTATTCTCCTAATTCAATAATATTCAACTAAATAAATATTATTGAATTTTCGTACTTTATTTATTTATTTAATTTCTTTTTACATTTCTATTTTTTTTTACATTTCAGTTACTTGTATTTGCTTTATCATTTATTTATACTTTTATTTCGCGTTTTACATACATATATAACTCGGTCTTTAAATTCGATACAGTGTCCGTTCGCGAAACCGGTTCGCCCGAGGCAAAGAGGAATGCGCGTCACCGAGGGATTTCGATCGATCGCGACGCGGCATATTTTCTGGATCCCGATCGAAATTATCGCGCGGGAAACATTATTATTACCGGGCTTCCGAAAATTATTATTAACATGCCGCATTAAATACACACACGATTCTCTCGATGACGGCTTTTATTTATCTAACGAACTCGTATTTAATATGCAAATATAACGAATGGAGATGAATGAGAAACGGGACGGCTATCGCCAAACTGGTACCTCAACTTATCTCCCGTACCCTTATTTTTCATATTTAATTTATATCGAATTCTACATTCGCTATTTTCCATTTGAAATATATCAGAAATTCTTGTGTTCTTTCGAAAATCGCTCAATCCATTTATCTTGTAAAAAAAGGAGATGTTAACTTCACAGATGTCAATAAAGTATCGATATTCATTTCGGAAAGTGGAAAAATTGTGAATAATACACGGATAATCCTCCACGAATATGCTAAAAGTCCATACCAAATGTACGAATGTTATACCTGCAAATTGCATACCTGAAACAGAGCTCAATTAATTCGATGAAATAAAATCTCGCGCGCGATAAAACAATTCGACATAACAGCATTTCTGTTTAATCGAGCTACAGAAATATTTTGCCTCTTTCTCCTTTCCGCCCGTGCGATTAGATTTCCATTGCATTAATATTTTACAATCGAGCGTGATTTTCACAAATAGATCGCTTGAACTTTTACACTGCGAGCGATTTAACGTATAATAATTCAAGCGCTCCCCCTTGTGTGCCCCAATTTGATTTAATTCGAGTCGAATGAAAGAGGGAGCGCTTCGGCCTCAATTTCAACGCCGTTGCGCAATAGTATAATGCGAAATACATGTATTTTTTTTCCTTCCAGCAAAATGCGGCGGCGAGTGCTGCAGCGAGGAAATGGAGGAGCAGTTGAAGCAACAAGCCCGCACGGACTTCCACAATCTGATTCATCATCACAGCAGAAGTCTGCAGGGTCTCTTCGCCACCACCGCCGAGGCACTCCGAGGTAAGGATCGTTCTATTTCCCAATTTTCGGCGCGCTCCCTGCCGAATGAATATATTTTCACTCGAAATGAATGTACAAATCTGCGTAAATCTACGTAAATCTGCGTATCCGGTTTACTTTTAGCGATATTCAATATGCTTTTCAATAAAAGCAATTTCCACCAATGCCGATTAATTTAGTGTAAATGAATAATAAACTTAATTGATTGATTAACCGCCAATGCAATTGATTCGCCGTTTTTAACTAACGTTAACTGCAATAATAATTCGATGGATAATTCAGTTGAACTGAAACTGATTCGGTATATTGCTCTCGCACTCGCGTTGATAAAATCAATCTTTAATGCGATTTCTGCATTTTATATTTGTATTACGCGCTGCTATACATCCAGGAGCTTTTAATGCTGAATTTGATTATTTATGACGCGGAGCGTGCAACATTTTATACTTACAACGTGCGCTGAGCAGCACAAGCTTTCAATAACGTAATATTATTATTATTTTATTATTATTATTATTTATAAAATAATTCGTCGATAGCACAAACACATTAGCGCATTTAATGATGCGCAGATTTTCAACAAATTCTATCAAACTTATTAATGGAAAATGCATTTCCAATTTTACGGTAAACAAACAAATCTTTGCATCTTACACGGGACGAATAAAATTAATGTAAAATTGTGTCTCTAATATATTTCGATGAAATTACATTTCAAATGAAGCCGGAAGAGACACTCCAGAGCGATATAATTGCTTGCTCTGAAAAAAGCAGACTCGAAGGGAGAAAATTAAGTTGAATTAGATGCAACTCTTCTAGCCTTTGTACGCAACTCTATTCCCGAATATAATGACGAGGCGTCGGCATTAAATGGTCGCTCGACTTGTCCTTTGTTTCCGGTGTTTCCGTCATTGGAATAATCAAGCTCCCATTCGTTCGCTTTCAACACGATTTGATTTATGGGAATTGCATGCCGATGTATCAGACGATTTGGACTCGACAAAAGAACCGAAGGGCCGCTTTTCTCGCTCGAAAGAACGGCCTTTACAGTTTTCGTTCCGAGCCGAGCCTCGAGCGCACTCCTCGGCGCACTGAAAGGTCGATAATTATCGCGGACGGTTTCGGACTTCGAGGGACTCTGCGGGACCTCTCTGCCGCTCCTCGAGTGCACGGACCTTCTCTTCGAGAAGGAGAAGAATCGAAGTCGCTCTCCGCCGTGCCGCCTTATACGGGGACAAGAAAGAGCGAACCGCTCCATCCCTCCTCTCCGGCCCTCGCTCCCTCCTCTCTTTCGCTCGTCCGATCTATCTCTTTAATTCCTTGCACCGGCTTCATGTAAAATGCCCGCGAACCAGCGACTCCTCGTTATAGAATTCGCATTGTGAAAAATTAACAACGGCGTAATCAAGACGAATTTCAATTTATCTTCATCGCTTTACATCGCCTCGCGTTACACAACATCTTTTACGCTCATTGGAGTAATTGATTGCTGATTTATTCTACATCGTCACTTTAATGAAGACAATAAATCGAATCGGTTTTTTTCTTTTCCTTTAACTTCTCGTCCGAAACATTTAATGTTATTTCCTCTTAATTTTCGACTTTACGAAATTATGTCGCTTTAACGACGAGCGATTCAATCGTACACTCTTCAGTCACCTCGATTACGTGGTCGGTTCGGTATTTATACCGGCGTGCACGCTAAGCGGAGTGCACGCATGAGCGAGAAACGGAAAACGAGGTACGTAAGGATGGAAGAAGATAGCACGATGGAGAGCACGCGCGAAAACGCGAGGCGGCGGAGGCGGCGTGTTCGCGAGGCGCGTGTCGTTGCCGCGGTAACGGCAGCATCTAGAATTCACACGAGCGCGGACCGCTCTCTGCTATTTTCGATACCACGAAAAACGTGCTTCCTCTCTTTCTCTCTCTCTCTCTCTCTCTCTCTGCCACCGCGAAGTGTTTATATTCTTGCGCGGGCGAGCGTGTACCGCGGACCGCGTCAGCGTTTCTTGCAGTTTCGTCGTCAAAATCGAGCTTTTCCTAACCCTCGAAAGTAAATCTTGGTTTATGGAAACGTATTAAGCCGATTTATTATTAACTCTCTGTTATATTTTGCGTATTTTCGAGGAAGTTTTAAATAAAACAATAGAAAATTTAAAAAAAACTAAACGTTTTTATTTTTGTAACAAAATAAAATAATTAAAAATACTTCAATAATACTTATATCGCTAACAGTTGCGTAGATTTATACAATGGAATATCTCTAAGATTTCAGTTGTCATTGGTAGACAAAATTATTGAAAAATAATACGCATTCTTGTGCTCTCAAATATATTTTCGATCGTGTGATATTCTCTTTTGAGACGTTGCGAGAAAATTCCAAGAACATTCTTTATTTCCAGCTTATTTGCAAATTTCTAATATTAAAAATTCCCAGCGTGTTCCAAATATTTGGGACTATTTACAAGCCAACAGGACACTTAAAAAAATGTTCATATTTTGTTTTCACGGCATACAATATCAACTTACGAAAAAAATTTCGCCAATTTTTTCTCCAGTCAATAAATGAAGACTCGGCTCCGAAAAGATTAACATAAGTGGAATACCTCGTTTGAATACGTGCCGGAATACATGCCGGTCTGATTAAGATCGACGTAATCTCCTACAGAAATGTGAGGGAACAAGTTACGCGCGGGACGAAAGCGGTCATTGCCGCATTTATTTCTGTCGCCGCCATTCGGCGGCGTCCGCGGAATCCCGCTAATTGAAGGAAAACAAATCCGAGTGGTCGTGCGCGATACCGCCTTTGAAGTCTCAATCAACGTGAGCATGATTCGCTTCGACAAATAATGTTTCAGAGAAGGAAAGTATGAAGGGCCGTTCCCACCGGGACAGGCGGGAAGAGGGAGAGAAAGGAGAAAGGCAAGAGAAACGGCGACGACGGCTGCGAAATATCGCGACGCGTATTTTTATATGCCGTTAATTTTAGTCACTTCAACCGCGACACGTCTATTTAAAAATAAATTACGCTCCGCTTTATTGCGATCTCGAGACGGGAAATGCGACATAACTTTCGTTCGCGAAGCATAATTCGTATAAGCGCAAATCAGATCAAAAACGATGGCATTCCGAATGATTCCGAGTCGATCAGAGATTACAGACGCAATTTCCAAAATCTTATATTGCTCACTGCTTCATTATATACTATATTTTATGATTCGTTACATATTTAGGTAATTGATTTATTATTTATCATGTATTATTAAATATA